TTTTGAGTCATCCAGTTGATAGTACCTCAATCACTAGTATGATTAGAAACAAAATTGGACCCCACTCAGTCCTCTTACATTACTAAGTGTAATTTTAAATCAAAAAATTGATGAGAGTTGTTCTCAAGAAAATCATTAAAGGCTAGAAGGAAAAAAACAGAGAAAGCATGCATCCGTACCTTGAACCAGATAGAGTAAAACCCTTGCTGCTTTAAGTCTTACATCCAGGTCTGCAGCTTCACAAGTCTCAAGCACAAGAAACAAGAATTTTCTCCTTTCAGCTGGTTTCATCTCAGTCCATTTTTGATAACCTAACTCTACACCAAAAAATTGAAAAGACAAATAAACTTAAATCCATATCTGTTTAGGATCCAAAATTACTTCCCCTCATACTGATAGACATAGGAAGGTTATTCTCAGGTGGAGTTAGATCACTTGTTTTCAAGTATTGTGCTTCCTAGTGTTACTTATGGGTTGCCAGTATATGGTGCTTCTGAGGCAGAGCTGACAGCAATGCAGTGTTTTCTAGATAGATGTTACTAACGTAAATATACATCTAAATCTTTTTCTATCAAGCACCTTCTAGAAAAGCAGGATAGAAAAGTATTTCGTAAGGTATCTGGCATAGACCGACACCCTCTAAGGGGACTATTACCCAAGAAGAAAGAATCGACTTATCCAAAAGTATCCAAAAGTTAATACAGATAGATTCAAGAACTCTTACATTAATCACTTAATTTTTAAATACAATTTAGCTATGTGAGCGTATTTTAATTGTAAATAACTTGGATATATGTACTTTTTACTCAAATATTGTGACATGAGATATGTATTTTTTATCTTGTGAGGAAATAAAGACTACTGAAGACATAGTTCCTCTTGTGTGGAAGAAAAAACTTGGCAAGCATAGAACCTGGGAGTTTATCCCAGATTTCATACTTGCAGAAAGCAGAAGTACCATCTGGGTGACCTCAGGGATAATCCCACTGATAACCCCATGGATAACCCCCTGGCAGTCTGTAGCCCCCATTTAATAGCATGAAGTGTCATGGAGTATTGCTTCTTCTCATGTGCAGGTAATACTTACATGAAAAACCTCATGGATAACATCCTGTCAACACTTATCTTTCATTGCAAAAATTAGGTGACCGGGAGAATTGTTAAAAGGGGAGAGGTATTTAAAGAGGCTGTGGTGCTGCAACAGTAGGAGAGTAGAACAGCTTAATATAGTATTGTCAACTGAGTTGATGACGTAAATTGGCCACTGTAAAGCATTTCAAAGCTGACATTTTGAACAATAGTCCTTCCTCAGAGGTAAAGACAAAGGACAAATGTTTGAAACATCAGTTTAAAACTCTTTACAGTAGCCAGTTTATATTATCAACTCATTTGTAGGAGAATTATTACTTCTCCTGGATGAGATTCTTCTCTATCTGGGTGATCTCCAAGTGACCCCCAAAGGATAACCTGGCAGATAACCCTATGAATCACTCCCTCCAAGTGCCTGTGCTGCATTTCATGACATGAAGAGACTAGGAGAATTTTAGTTCTCCTGGGTTGGATTCTTCTCTGTTTGAGTGATCTCCAGGGAAGCCTTAGGGATAACCCAATAGATAACCCCAGGGATAATCCCCTCTTAGTGCCTGTGCTGCATTTCATGACAAGAACTGACTAGACTAATTTACATAATATCAGAACTTGTCAATTGTTACTGGTAGCTTTACCTACAGTTTGGAAAAATATATACAATGAGTTTTCATGTCAATTTAGTCCTCACATATCACTTGCCTTGTGAAAATAGGGTAGTTTCAAATGCCCCCTGGTTGGATTTAAATTCACTATCTTCTGTGTAACTATAGAGCTCTGTAGGAGAGAAAAAGCATCTGATCACAGTCTAATCTTGAAATTAGCCAACACAGTCCGATTAAAATTAAAGATGATATTGAATAGGCGAAGTTCTAGCTTGATTTCTAGTCTCTACATTTTTAGTTCACGCATCTTACATAAATGTAACTCGTTTCGACTCTACTCTATCTGAGAAAATCGAATCGAACGTAATCTATTAACTGTTCGTAGAAAAGCAATCACATGAATCAACAAAATATTTAATTTTTGACGACCTTGATAGCACAACTCTCATAAAGCATATTTTTGATGTTGTTGGTAATAATAGAGTATCTCTATGAAGTAAGTCAGTTCTTCGATAGAGAAAAAAACGACAAAAACAATACATTGTCATTGGGAAAACATATTTGTTTCACAGTAGTATGGGGCTGTGCGGAAATTTTACCAAATATTGCCTAAGAGCTGTTTAAACTCATAACCACGATCGTGCGCGAGTATATTACAACTCACCGGCGATTTCGGCCGATTTTCTGTCAGCATCGTCGTAGGTAAATTCAACATCGGGCGTGGAATCTAGCTGGCCCTATCGTGAAATGAAAACATTTTAGAGAAGGAAAGACAACTTGGATATCTATCTGCTTCTCATATACCTCTGATTCTCGTCTCTGCCGTCGCAAAAGATCTCTCAGTTTAGGAATTCCTCTCTGTTTACGATCAATACTACCCTCCATCTTGGAAATCAATCATTGTGCTGAGGAACCACGCTTTTACATATTAAGTCCCAATCCCTACCGTCAAATTTTCGCAGAATAACCAACTTGATATGTGTGACATGGCAGGCACACCAGGACAAATGAAAGCAGTTGAGCGTCTCATCGACCTCCCTGGAAACGGTGAAAATTGGGCTTTGCTGAAAGACAACCCCTTCTGAAGAAGAGCATAACATTTCTATTTCAAAATGTTAACTGCAGCTTATAAATACCTGAAATTCAGAATACATCTATATATATGACATGAATGAAAGAACCAGTGAAGAATAAAACGCATAAACAGATGAAAGGATGAAAAAATGAACAAAAGAACAAATGAACAGGTGAATTAATAAATGGATAAAGGAATGAAAAAGTGAACAAGTGAAGGAATAAACGGACGAAATAATGAACGAGTGAGCAAATAAATAAAAGCGATAACTTTCTAAAGAAATTGTAGTCGATAAGGAGTATTACAAGACGATTTAGTTTTATCAACTAAGTTGATAATGTCAATTGTCCACCGTAGAGAGTTTCTAAAGCTGGAGTTTCGAGCGTTAACCCTCCATCAGGACGAATGAAAAAATGAATGGGCAGATATCCTATTTTATTCAAAACTGGATCAGACTGGATAATACAATTCAAGGGTTTTCACTGGCCCAGACATCATGGGCTATGAACTATTATGCTATGCGCGCGCATTAAGACGATTTAAACGGGAAGTGTTTTTGTACATTGTAACATTCCGTTTGTCCTTACAAATAACGTTTGGGAGATTTACGTATATTTTGGGGAGTTTTTCATTAAACAATTACTCCACTCGCGCTTGTTGGATATGAGATGATTATCGCTAACTCGGAATTTCGGGCCTCGTTCTCCCAACGCGCGTTCAGGGAATGTTCTTGTCGCAACCTGGAGCTGTGTGAAAAGAGAAATGGTTGGCGGGTGTGACCGCTTGTCACAAGGACTCTCTAAAAATCATCTGCGTCGTAAAGTTGTAGTTTATTAGTTAAAATTGGAAACTCAAATTCCGGTATCAACAGTTTGCATGACGTATGTTGCTTTTGGGACTAATATCTGATGCCCCCCTGAGACAACAACCCTCATATGCATTGACGTGGCCCTCTGACGAAGTCTTTGTGATATTATTGCTTCCATCACGTTTTGAGTCATTTCTAAACCTAGTCTGACTAAGGTAGAGAACATTTTGATTAAGTATCGAAGGATCAAAGCCGTTGAAGAAATGACATCGACCAAACAGAAAAAAACGAAAATATAACAAGAGGCTTATCAGATCTCGAAGTAAAAGCAAGCGAACTAGTTGAAGCACTGAAAGATGCGAGTGACTTACATGTGACGGATTTAAGTTCTGCATCTGATTGGCTGATGCGATGGCGCGAGTTATTTTAGACCAATTAGAAAGAGTGGAGTGTCCAAACCACAAGTTAAAGGTCACGGAATTTAAATTACTCCATACACACAAATGAATCATTGGATTGTATTACCAAAATAGAAACACACCAAAGAGTTAAGATAAGTTTATAGAAGCAGACGGAGTAGAGTGACACGAATTGTAAACAACGGACCTAAAATGCTTTTAGTTCAAATTTTTAGGTCGCTAAAACCGAGATTTACTAATATTTTTCATTACGTGACCCTCACACAGCTACAAAAAAAAACAACACGGAAAATTTAGCCTACTGCCTGACAATTGCGTCTTAAATGTAATCATGCGTAATGTTAAAACAATGGATATAATATCCATTATCCTTTAACTTCAGGTCAAACATTCTTGGCACGATGATATTTTGGTTGTTTTTATATCTAAATTTTGCGAGGGTCAATGCTACAGACATTTTGAAAAGCTTACATTTCAGTGAGTCAAGTTGTCAAAATGTTTCTCTGTACTGTGTATTCATTTATTTGCTCGTCTGTTTGTTTACATTATAACGTGGCTCTCAAACAGAAACCGTTTAATTAAAATTGCGCTTTGTCATCTTTGCTTTTCGCATAATATTAATTGTCATAGTTGACTCACAAACTAATGCGACCCAAACAATAACAATATTTCAAAAAAGCCGTGTGATCTTCGAGTCGAAGGTAGCTTATCTTTTGATATTTTATTTACTAGAGTGTAACCTGTTCCATGGGCAAAGTTGGTAAAACGAAGCGTTATGGCAAACGGCGCGATAGTAGTAAATGAGGGAAAGACTAGGGAAGAAGCTGGGCCTAATCGCATCGTGCCTTCCCTTGCTTTTTTCAATTTCGCCATTCAATATCTCGCTCCGTTTTACAAACTTAATCCATCGAACAGGCTACTAAAATCATGGTTTATTGTCATTTTTGTTTCACTGATAACGGTATGGCTTAAATGTGTTTTCTCCCAACAAAAGTTCTTATGTCTTCCGTTAAGTTGCTCTCCTGGGTGATTAGAGCTGATAAAAATAGGGGTACTCGTTCTAAAACACTTGTCGCTTTTGTCTCTCATTTTTACTAATAGGATGTCATCAGAGATGATATTGCTCTTTGTTTTTCTCATAACATATCAGTTTTATCGGCAGCGGATAATTATAACTGAATATGCTTACGTGCAAACTTTTCTGATCTTTAGAAAATGAATGAGACTTAAACAATGAGATATTGCTTGATGAATTACATCCTACGTAAAACTGAATGTCATTGCCATTGCAAGGGAAATAATTAATCAGTGTAAATTTAGTAATAATTTCACCGAACTGCCTTCTTTAGGAGCCCGTTAAATAGTTTAGAGGTGGAGAAAACCTTGACATTCATCCCTAATAAGATTGAAAGATTTCGGCGGTTTCGGTACTGATCGACTCGAACTGGCTTATCCATGGCTTTTGTGTGTTCTTCTCTTGTTCGGCTAACCAAAAAACCAAACATTTTGTTTTTCAGTTTGTTTTTAATAGGTTTTATTTGCGTCAGTATACATTTGGCTTTCCCTGCACAGATGTCATATCACTGCGATATCATAGCTGTAGGGATATTGTTATTTGTTTATCTAGGTTAAACAACGGATCAACAAATTCGTTCAGCCGTCATTTATGCTGCGAAAATTTTCATACTGTCACAGAGTCTCTCAAGTTCTTTCGTAATCTATGAGGCAAAATCCCGTTGAGAGCATCAACATGATGGATAAAACGTAATTTTTCCATTAAGAATCCTTACAATAATAGTTTTTGTACTGTAATATTTTTTACGCAAAATGGCAGTTTATTATGAATTGTTTGAATGAGGCTATTAGTTGTGCTGTTTATAATAGTGATATTGGTGAAATGGGTTTGGGTTAAATTACGTAACACTGACCGTAAAATGATTCCTTGCACTCATTGATATTGTTAGAAAGCGTGTTGGTCTAAGATTTCGGAAATCGTTTAAGGTGCTATAACGCTTGCTTAATTTAGCCTGAAACAAACTTGCTGAATCAAACAGGAAAAGTTGTCAAATGAATGCAAAAGTGACTAAGCAAAGTGAGAGAATTTTGGCAAAAAATAGAAGAATTAGGCATAAATAAACATTGAAAATACTAATGTATTTAAAATTCTTTCTCCTGACCCCTTGCTTTAAGAATGAATTGACGAATTGTTCAGTTATCTTTTGTGTCAAGGACCCTGCAGTTAACCAGACTACAATAATAAATATTCGTGAATTACAAAAATGAGGTCATAAAATCAGATGGAAGAAAAAGATAGCTTCGCTTTCAAATCACTGACACTGGGCAAAATCATTTGGCATACACTAAAAATGACAGAGAAAAGCGGTGTAGAGAGTCTCGGATGGCGTGTTTGATTTGGAAAGATTCCCGTGTCATTGAGAAGGAGGTCACGTTTTTGAGAGTTCCGGGCCTGTGGGCAAGCAAATTGTTGCACGGTACTCCTTTATTCCACAAATAAAATAGAGAAGTTTAGAAGATTAAATAAGTAAAGTGAGTCAAATTCTTGTATCTGTTATACTGGTGAAGAGTTAAGAAAATTTGACGTTTCAAACCAGGAAAAAATAACAAATTTTCAATACACCTGTGAGCTGGCAGTAACCAAGTGTGACGATCATGTCCATAAATGGTTATAATGACCTTATTTGGTTGATTAGTCGATAAGTATAAATTTCGTTCTCCCTCTCCTTCGCCAGTAGTGAATGCAGTGACATTCCTGAGGAACCCACCTACTAAGTTTGGATAAAGTGATCTCTCTCAGTTTACAAGGCTTGTTCTGCAATCCGTTTGAGGTTTTTCTACGATGGAGCTTGCTAAGAAGTGTCCATTTTTGGCTCGTGTTCCCTCGTCTTTCGTTCGCAAGGCGAGAGGCCCAGTGCTCGTTTCTTACGCCGAACGTTGCCCCGTGATGTCGGAGGTTTTGAACAAAACCGACGAAATTCCCGATAAGAACGAAGGTAAACCTACATTTTTTGTGTTGTTGTACTTTTTGTTTATTTGATTTAACGTTTAAACAATGATACCGAGCGATCGAAGTTATTTTGAAGCTCATGTAGTATAGTCAAGTTGCATAACATGTCAGCTGAATTAAAACTTCATTTCATCACAGGAGCTAAGACCCACGGAGCCGCAACATCAGCCAAAGGTTTGTATTCAATCTCAACTTTTCTAGCATTAAGTCTTTCAAACGAGAATAAAAATTTCTTTGTCGACCTTAACTATTGGGAGACCTTTTCATCTCTTCGTGTTGTGTTTGTGTGATTTGTGCGTGGTAAGCTGAAGTCGCAATTTTATTGTACAATTCACTTGGTATACGACATCAGTAAGATCCCACGTTATTTGTTTTTAATTTAAGCTTCTGTAATGAGTAGGAATGCCGTTGAAAAACTGTATATTTCCAATATTTGGGCTTTTTTGTGATTTGAAGTGTCTCTGGCAATTTGAAACATTTCCAAGCCGGCTTCTGTACGGTTCTGTTTGTCTGCGTGTCATCATCCCATGACAAAGCGGAAAATTAATCTTCCTTGACGGCAACAACATTTGCATTTACGCATTTTTCTTTTGTTCGGCATATTCTGTGGGACATGGTTGATTACAGATATTCTTGTCGGCGATTGCTTTCCAAACCACTTTTTCCGTGTTCCGAGTTTGTTGTTCGTCACGCAGTCGATCTTGTTTCTCTATATTTGAATCGGTTACTAGATTTCGCCACCTCGTTTTCTTAAAGTGTCGCGGAAAATATAAACATCGACAAAGATTGCTGACTCACTTACAACGGAACGTAGATTAAAACCTGATTACAAAGGAGGTCATTAACAATTTCGGCTTAAAAAAATGAATATTTGGAAAGGATGTATCGATATTGTTCAGTTAACTCAACATCGACTCCGTTCAAAACAGCATAGCAACAAATGATCTAAAAATATTTGTATCACGCATCATTTTTAAGAGTGATTGAAATTTATTCTCGCAATTCTTGAAATTTGGTCTTGAAGTGAATTAAAAAAAAAAACTATTAGCAAGTTGAGCTGTTAATAAACTTCAGGAAACGGATGTACATCAAGAGATGATATTGGACGGTTGCCTTGACAATGACTCTGCAGCTCTTAATTACCTATTTGGGAATGAGGTGAACTCTAAAAGTAATCGTTAGCAATCCTCTGCTTAAAAATGGATATTTCAAAGATATAAACAAGTTTCCAAGACAAATGAACATAATAATGTGCCACAAAGTGACACAAAGTAATTTTTGATGTGTCAAAGGTTACATAGCCTAAATTATTGGGATAGACCCAGTGTATTGGACTTTGCAGTGTGAAACACTGGTAACCTGTTAGTGTCCTACATGTTGAAGTAGTATGATTGCTTGTAGATTTGCATTTGGGTCAGTCTCCTTGCTCTCTGTGTAACTTACTAGCAAGTGTCACCATGGCTGAATATTTAAAATTTTATTTAATTTACATGTACCTACTAATTACTTAGACTTACCTATTTCAAAAATAAAGGCTATATTTTCAAACCCACACAAGTTTTAAAGAAGAATGTATTTGCGTGATAAGTAAATAATCGTGTTCTCTGTTAGATGTGATCTTCTTGGCAACCCTTAGACAGCAAACAACTTTACTGGGAGATCCTTTTTCAACTTAACTTTGTTAACATTTGCATTTGAGTGATACATTGTAGAAGGTAGATGGGCCATTATCTCATAATTAAACATAAAAAAAAGAAAAAAATCCTGGGTTGAAACCACAGCAAAGCTACAAAGTAGGAGCACAAAAGCACAAAACTTAAGAATGTTCTGACATGCCAGGAGTTCAAGAATGTTTCTGATATTTTAAACTTTTTTTTCATATCTTTTTGCCTGGGAACCAAGAGATGTTTACTAAGAATGCTAAACTTAAAAGTAAAGGGCTAACCTCATCTGTTTTCCTTCTTTTGAATTGTATTTTCAGCTGGTAAATGTCCAGTAATGCACAATGCCACTGAGGTAAACAATAATGAACTTGTTACCTGTGCCTGTGATTATCAAGAAGGAACTGGGAAGAAGGATACAACCTTGGAGTCAGGTATTGAAAACAAAAACTTGTGTAGTTGCTTGAGCAATTTGTGATTGCTGTTGTATAAGGTTTTTTTTTTACGTATAAGAAAAAAACGTTATCATTTACTGGACTTGTAGAATTAAAGGCTTGAGTTTTTTTAATTTCTTGTGCCTCTAGGGCTTTTATTAACCCTTGAACTTCTAAGATCTAACTATTAATTCTCCCCTCCAGCTGTTCCACATTTCCTTGTAAATTAGCAATGAGAATTTAGAGCAAGATAACAACATCTAAGTGATAAGTTTGAGTATCCATCAGATACTATGTGGATTCTATAGGTCTGGAAAAAGTTACATGTGAATCACTTCTGGGGGTTAAAGAGTTAAGGGCCAGCTATCACTAGGCTGCTGCTACATACAAGTTGTCTTTCCACAATCTGATGATGCTTTATTTGGAAGAATTTATGGACTCTTTCATGGTCTTAGTCTGTGTGAACAGTTTTCACCTAAAAAAGCAAATTTTCTCTACCATATCAGAAATACATGATTTCTAGTGATTAAAAACTCTTCATTACAAAATTTAAAAGCATATCTTAAATTAACCTGTGCCATCAGTTGAAAATTTTGTCCAATATAGTTCTGTTTTAACTGAGAATAAGAAGCCAGCAGTGAATAAAAGAAAGTAAAGAATAAAAAGCCAGCAGTTGTGTTAAAACAGACTTGTAACAGATAATTATCTTTTCTTTCAGCTGGAAAGTGTCCTTTCTCAAGTGGCAAGTTAGTTGTGGATGCTGTGCAAAAAATTCACCCTACCCCTGCAATGAAGGTGGGAAATGTTTTTGCCCAGGCCACTGGAGTGCGTCAACTGGTCACCATGCCCCTTGCTGTTCAAGGTAATTTGTAAACATGTCTGGAGTGTATCTACAGTCAAAGTTTCTTTTTCAAAGGTTAACCCTTTAAATCCTATGAGTGACTAAGACAGAATTTCTCCTTACAATATCAATACAGTATCAACTAGATTAGTGATGAGAATAAAGAAAAATATCAATTTGGGGATAATAAGTTGATCCAATACAAATTCTCTGAACTAACGTTATAAAAATTGTATGGTTGACAGTAAGGAGAATTACGAATTTGATCTGGGAGTTAAAGGGTAAATTGAATATTGTTGCAATCTTGTACCTCCTCTGTATACTTACCTACTGGTTTGTGTTTTTAATTTTTCAGGTCCTGCACCCAGCATTGAGGCCTTTCAGTCTCACTTTGATTATGACCGATTCTTTTTGAATGAGATTGAGAAGAAAAGGATGGACAACACCTACCGTATTTTCAAGAGGGTGAACCGCCTGGCTGAGACTTTTCCACATGCCAAGGATTACAGTGATTCTTTGGCTGGAAAAGATGTGTCAGTTTGGTGCAGTAATGATTATCTGGGGATGAGCCGACACCCAGAAGTGCTGAAGACTGCAAGGTAAGGGAAGTGAGATGCTGTATTGAGGGTGAAATGCTAGTGCCTTCCATTTATTAAGAAGGCATTGCAAGAAACAGGCTGTTACAAACATGTCACCTCTGTTTGAGCCAAGGTCAACTTTTACAATAGGGGAACTTTTTTGTTTTTCCAGGGAGACTATTGACAAGCATGGAGTTGGTGCTGGAGGTACTAGAAACATATCTGGCACAAGCAGTTATCATGAAACCTTGGAGAAGAAACTGGCAGAAATACACAAGAAGGAGGCAGCACTGCTCTTTACTTCTTGTTATGTAGCCAATGACACTACTCTGTTCACTCTGGCTCGTCAATTACCAGGTGAAGACATGTCCCAAGTTTGGTAACGAAAAAGATTTAGAGTGAAACTTAACAATAGATGAACTTGTGAAGTATTTTTGTAATGTTGTGGTGTTGATAAGAAATGGCTCACAAGATGAGAAAAAACATGAAATTTGAAAGCAGTGTGATTATTACAGATTTATAACTGATTGGGCTATGTGCTGTAATCACCATTTTTGTTTTATCTTAACTTCTTAAGTTTCTTCAAGTTGTAGTCAAGAACATGTTACCCAAAAAATATGCAGATTTACATAGAAATGTTCATTCTTTATTCCCTTGACATGAACTTATTACTGTTTTTAAATGGTACCATTGTTGTGGAAAAATTTTTAATAGTGTTGGACTGCTATTCTTGTTACAGGCTGCCTGATTTTTTCTGATTCTGGTAACCATGCCTCCATGATCCAAGGTATTCGCAACAGTGGAGCAAAGAAGTTTATTTTCCGTCATAACGATGTAGAGCATCTAGAGCAGCTTCTGGAGCAAGCAGACCCTGAGGTGCCAAAGATTGTGGCATTTGAGACTGTGCATTCCATGACGGGAGACGTCTGTCCATTGGAAGAACTGTGTGATGTAGCACACAAGTATGGGGCTCTGACCTTTGTGGATGAGGTAAGTAGACTGGGATTGATGTCGAACCTTTCAATCTGACAGCTTACTAGGAATACTTCTTTAAACTGCCTTTTGTTGATCCTGTCATATTTTTGTAACCTGTCAGTTTGACAGTCTATGGAGATTGTGAGGGAGATTGTTTTATCAACCCTTGCCAATACGTCAGGTTATAAGTAGTATACGATTATTTCTGGTCTGCAGTTTTGATTGAGAAGTATGTCAGTCTCCAAACCAACATTGTTGGCACATTAAGTTATAGCTAGTAACAGCCCTAGTGACACGGTCAAAATCATATTAGAGAGTCAAATAGTATTGTAGCCTGTAAAGGAGTGTTTAATTTAAGGATGATTAGAACTGTTGTTTTTATATTTGTGTATATTTTTCTTACACCTTAATTAGTGGGACATACCTTGCATGGTGCGTCAGCACTTTTGGTTTTCTCCTTTTCCACAACTCTTCTTTATTGTAGTGATAAATTCAATTTAATCTATTGTCTATTTGTAATGTTGTGGAGTGACTCTGTAATAAATAACAGTAACCTGTTCAGGACCGGAACGTGGCCATTAATTCTAGCGTCCATCTCTAAACCATTGCGTTGCTTATAAAGATTATTGTAGCACTGATGAATTGTTTTCAATCAACAGGTTCATGCAGTGGGTATGTACGGTGACAACGGTGCAGGCATTGGCGATCGAGACAACATCATGCACAAGATGGACATTATCACTGGTACCCTTGGCAAGGCCTTTGGATCCATTGGAGGGTACATTGCTGCATCAGCTGCCCTTGTTGACAACGTGCGCAGCTATGGCTCCGGTTTTATCTTCACCACCTCCCTTCCTCCTGTCACTGTGAACGCTGCTATTACATCTGTCAGTATTCTGGCCAGTGATGAAGGACGCAGTTTGCGTGAAAAGCATCAGAATTCTGTGCGCACCTTGCGAAACAAGTTGGTGAAAGCTGGTCTTCCTGTGGTGTATGCTCCGAGTCAGATTATACCGGTGCATGTAAGTGTCTGTAATTCATGTTTTGTCGAGAAAGACCGTATTTTAAAGAGACAGTTATTTGAAAGAAATCTAACTAATTATAGGCTTCAGACAATTTACGGACCATATTTTTTTTTTTGCAAGTGAGTGTTAATCCTTGTGTTGCAATGGCAACAACATTTTAAACTTTTTGAAAATGTTCCTATAAATCAACTTTGTAACGAATGCATTTGACTAAATTGGAGAAGCCATAAAACGCGGCGAGGATTAAATTTATATTTGATTCATCCGCAGGTTGGTGATGCAGCCAAGTGCACAGCCATCTCCAACGAAATGCTGACCAAATATGGCATGTATGTCCAGTCTATCAACTACCCAACAGTTGAACGCGGCAAGGAGAGGTTGCGTATCGCTCCCACTCCTGAACACAACGAAGCCATGATGGACAAGTTCACCGAAGCTCTGGTCAAGGCCTGGAAGGACAACGGAATGCGTTTTCTGACCCCCCATTGCACTACTGCATGCGACTGTCAGGAGCGCTGCATCACCTACAAAGAGCTGGATTGCAACAAGTATGCTTCCCAGGTTGGAGCCTAGAAAGCCGGCCAATATTGCTCTCCGAATCGACTTTTCCAGTGGGCGTGTAAAGCTCTCAAAATGGAACTCTATTTAAGAATTGTTAAATGTAATTTTCTGGAGAAATCTGAAATAATCATACAGTGAAATCATCACGTTCTTGTGTCTGTGTGTTGGTTGTTTACTTTGTTCCATCTTGGTTGAGTTTCCTTTTTGTTTATGTCCCCGTGTTTTTACTGATTTTCTGGTAAGACTTAAAACTTGTGTTTCTTTGTGCTCAGTATTTTCATTTCTGAACCAAATCTTTGGAGTTCTATTGGTTTCGAGTCATGACACCTTTATCTACTCAGAGATGCTGCCCTTATGCCTTTTGAAACCAATGGTGTCTGTAGTGTCTTATGTGAGCCTTTTTTGTTGGTGACTGCCTTTATGCCGGTACAGAGAGTGCCACTGTCTTGCTTTGACGCAAGGTATCCCGAGATACTACCAGTTGTCGCCTTTGAAACCAATACTGACCAATGTAGGATCTACTTGACTTGTTATTTTCAAGGAACTGTGACTGCCCTTATGCCAAGACTGTGTTAAAACAGTGAGTTTTCTTGCTGTTATGGACTGCAATGCTGGTTGCTGAAAACATCCTGTTCGGAGGCCGTCAGTGCATCTTGCGCTCTGAAGAGATGATTGCGCTTATGCCAAAGCACTTGACAATGAACCACAAAGCTGGTTCTACGTATGAAGAAACAGCCCTTATGCCAATTGGTCAACGACGCTCAAGAACTTTAGACTGTGGCCAACTTGTGCGAAACGTGGTCCTTAACTTGCCAACTAAAGGGAATTGAAAAGTTCAGTTTAGTAACGCTGTTATTAGATTAGATAATGGGGTGACTGCCTTTTATGCCAAAGCCGTTTCGGCTACGTAGAGAGTGGACAATTAATTTAATGACACTGCTGTGACCCTACAGCTACGAAATGGAACTCTTTAAGTATAGATAAATCGATTCGCGGGGAGTAAGTTATGTAAAATTGGAAGAGTTTTTCAGGACAACGAGCGAACGATGTTGGTTTTCGGATTTCCATTTAGTATCTGTAATGACCCTTTTCATTCTTGAAGCGGTTCATAGAGCGCAGAAGTCGAAGGAGGTAAATCTGAAAAGACAATTCTAGCGGACTGGCGATTTCAAAAGAAAGATATCGGGACATGACAGTGGGACGCCTTGCCTGTGTTCCCTGATTCCTTTCTTTACGTATTTTTTACTTTGTAAACTTTATTAATAGCACAGCTACGAAATGGAACCTCCGGGTGTAGTTAAATCGATTCGCAGGGAGAAAGTAGAGTAAAAAAGGGGGAAGTTTTTCAGGAATAACGTGCGAACGATGAAGGTTTACGGTTTCCACTTAGTACCTGTGTTGCCTCTTGCCAATTTACAATTAGCTTAAGAAGATTTACACGTCTAGGGAGCTACATTCGGAGTAGCAATTTAGCGGATTTGTCGTTAGTGAGAAAAAAGAAACCGGATATGTCCTTGGTTAAAAATCGGTGTTGGGTTTTTGTAGATAGTGGTAAGTTTTAGTCTTCTTTTGAGTGAAACTCGAGATTCAAACTTACCAATTAAAATGTATTACTTTCATAACCAAAAGTGTTCTTGATGCATTACAATCTAGTTCCGAACAACGTCGCTCTTTTGATAACTTACTCGTCATGACTAAAAAGCTCCACAAGTCCTTTACCATCTCTCTTCCCAGCTATAGGTTGCACTCCCGCTCGACACATTTGTGGCCTCAGGAAGAAGCATGTGGCTACTGATAAAGGGCAATTTTTAAAGCATCGAAAGGAACTAGGGGTTTTATAGTGACGCTAGAAGGTAGTGTTGCCCAAGATTTGTATTCGCATGCAAACGGTAAACCTGCCACACCCCACATATCCTACACACCCGCCGCCTGTTAAGCTCATTTTCTGTGTAGGGCGCCAGACCACCTTTCGGGAGGTCGAGGGTTGACACTCAGGGTCTTAAAGTAACTGAGAAGAATATGCTGCCTTAGCTATGACATCTGCAGATGGTTGAACATTCTTGTCTCCTCAGATAAGGACGAAAAACCGGAGGCCCTGTCCCGTGCATTTCCTCTGCGCTGTACAGCAGGGGACTTTGAACAACCCACGCACTTCTCGGTGATGTGGTCTGACCTTGTTTCCAAAAATCACAAATTGAGGGTACCTGCAAAATTCCCTTTCAAAAAGTTGTAAACTGCTCAATGCAGTCCGACTAAAGTCCCCTGAAAAGTACTGTAAAGCGCATTAGAGCATATCCATATGGAGAATGTGCTAAATAAATTCATCATTATCATTATACGTACTATGTTCCACAAGAAAAAAGATTACTCAAGAAAATAGTGACTAATTGACATTCAACCAATGATTAAATGGTAACAAATGATGAAAATAACAATAGTAATAATACTAATACTAATAACAATAGTAATGGTGCTGATAATTTAAAGGGGCTTGCCCAAGAACCTCATTGTTCCTCTATACTCAGCTAGGCTACATTAATGACTACATTTTGCCTTTTAATTATAAATTATCTTCTTATTTCATTGAAATTCTATTCTGTTTCATACAATAAGAAATTCCATGCTAAAGGATATTCTCCCATTCCATCATTCTATCATTTCATCGAATAGCGTCACCCTATTAAACTTCGCTTCGCGAATTCATCGGCTCTTTAGAGCATTATTCACTGATTGAAATGGTAAAACGCTCTCTCTCAAAATTGGCCACAAGTGTCCAAAATCGAAAATCGGCCATAAGGGTCCAAAATCCATCATCGGTCACTAAGGTCCCAAATTGAAGATCGGCCACTAGTGTGTAAAATTCAATATCGGCCATTATGGTCCATAATGAAAAGTTGGCCACTAGGGTCCAAAATGAAAAATCAGCCATAAGCGTCAAAAAACTAATATCGGCCACCAGTGTCCTAAATCAAAAATCGGCTTCTAGGGTCCAAAATGTAAAATTGGTCACTAGTGTCAAAAATCTTATATCGGCCACTCGTGTCCAAATTCCAAAATAGGCCACCAGGGTCCAAAATGCAAATTCGGCCACAAGTGTCCAGAATCCAAAATCGACCACAAGTTTCTAAAATCGAGGATCGGCCACTGGTGTCTAAAATCTCTCACTGGACACTCGGGTCCAAAATTTAAATCGGTCAATAATGTCCAAAATCTGTAATCGGCCACTAGGGTCTAAAATGCAAAACCGGCCACTTGAGTCCAAAATCGAAAATCGGCCACTAATGTCCAAAATCACAAATCGGCCACTGAGGTCCAAAATTCAAATTCGGCCACTGTTGACCAAAATCTTAAATCGGCCACAAGAGTCCAAAATCCAAATTCGACCATTAGTTTCCAAGATTCAAAATCGGCGACTGGTGTCCAAAATGCAAAATCGGCCACTTATGTCCAAAATGCAAAAATCGGCCGCCAATGTCCAAAATGCAAAATCGGCCATTAGTATCCAAAATCTTATATCGGCGACTAGTGTCCAAAATGCAATAGGGTCCAAAATGAAAAATTGGCCACTATGATCCGAAATCCAAATTTCTTCCGTTCTCCAACGTTGTCTACTCCGACAAAATTTTAACTTCTAAGTAGAAAATATCAGTATAACGTAAATCAGCTGTCTTCTGCTGAAGTACAATCATATCCTTGTATTGAATACAATGATTTGTGAGTGCGTATTCGACCGTGAACTGCATAAATTAACAAAAATTCTCGGCAGAAACATTGCCATCCATGCCAACGGCGCTCGATATGCGGTGAACAAGTTTGCTAAACTTGAACAATTCTCCGTCTAAATAATGACTGAAACGTCGCCACATGAAGTTGCTAACAGCAAAGAAAGTTTCCGAAACATAGCCTGCTTCTTTGTGTTTGGAATACTGTCGTTAATCTACGATGAGACTTCTCTCGCGGCGGCCGAAGATGTGTTGTCGGGCAGTAAGATTCCCACTACAGTTGTTATAATTGCCATCGCCGTACCGGTTCTCGGTGTAAAAATCACCGCGCCGTGGTTTCTCCAGAAGTGTCCATACTTGGTCAAGGCCTGCCTGGTTGTGTTGCTTCTTTTTGCGGGATTAATCGTGGTTGTAACGGCTTACGATGTTCACTTGAGGTTGTTCGGAATTAGCGTCATCGAATCGGGAGTCAGTTTGAGCGAAATAACTTTCTTGGCCATGACTGCCTGCTATGGCGAGATGACAGTCAGTGCATTTGTAGCGGGAATCGGTGTGGCCTCGTTATTGGGACCATTTTATTACACAGGTTTGACCCTACTAGTATAATCTTAGTTTTATTGACGCGGAATTTTGAAAAGTAACACATACTTAATCATTATCGTAAAATATATAGTGGTTATTCACTATTTTAAGTAACACTTCGTGGTCGCTTCGGATGTGGTCGCAGCGTTTCGACTGCTTCTGCCAGTCTTCTTCAGGGGAATGTCTTCAAACCGAGCGGCGGGAGACGATTAAGATGTTAAAGATCAGAAGAGGCGTAGATTTATATCGCTTGTTCGCTAAGGAGTATTTTTTTAAATGATTGTGAATATATGGAAGTCATATATTTGAACTGCGGTTAAAGACGTGAATATGAAAGCGATCTTCGCAGTAATGAACACTACGTAAGTATTAGTGAGAAGAAGAGCTTGTTAGCTCAGTTAGTAGAGCACTGAACCGGTATCGCAGAGGTCATGGGTTCAAATCCCGTACAGGCCTGAACTTTTTTCAGGCCTCCTTTTGATCACTACTACCTAAGTAGTGTTCATTACTGCGAAGATCGCTTTCATATTCACGTCTTTAGCCGCAGTTCAAATATATAACTTCCATATATTCACAATCATTTATTCACCATTTCACGCGTTTATTTAGAACCAACACATTGACCAGCTCCCAGTTGGCTTGTTAGCTCAGTTGGTAGAGCACTGCACCGTGACCGGTATCACAGAGGTCATGGGTTCAAATCCCGTACAGGCCTTGAAAAAAGTGAAGAACTGACATCCTGACTGAATATTATTAGACGTTTTGATGTGTAGTATCACTGAGTAATTTTATGAGTTGTGCCGTATTTTGACGAGCCCCTAGGGCGCGAGTCGAATTACAAACAACGAATAAATTAGAGAAAGATGTATTTTTTTTAATGCAAATTCATACCTGGCACGAGAAGAAATTTCTAGCGATGACAGAGGCGGACCACTTCTATTGATCATTGAAGATCAAGAAACTTTGAGATTTTCATTTAAAAAGATAAGTTTGTGCCCCAAAGTGATCATAAAATCAAACTTTTTTAAGCAGATTCTTATACTCTACTTTTTATGTAGAAATTCATTTATTATGATTCAATTCATATAATCCGTTTGAGTAAGATTTACAAACCTAGCCGGGCCTAATCGGGCCCAGTCGTTCAAAGGGGAGATAACGCTGTCCAGCGGATAGCCTTCGAAAGACCAGGGCCCTGATCTGTTACGGAGTATGAACTTCAGAGACATTTGCTATAGAACAGGACATCACATCTTCAAAATATTAGCAGTTATGCGATTTTAGACGACGATATTCTGCCTCGCAAAATGCGTCAGTAAAAAAATGCTTCTGTGTTAAGAGGGTAACTGTGAGAGGTGGTTGTCGTATGAGAACGCGGTAATAGGAACTGCATATTGAGCTGAAATTCAGCAAACAGTGTGATTTAAATCTTTTGACCCAATCTACGGCACATAGGCACGTGTGCCTCCACTGATGAAGTGGAAGAAAAGCGGGGACCTGGGACAGGAGGGGGGGGGAGGCGAGGTTAGTGCAAATTTTTAGGTTACAAGGTACAGCAAAGTACAATCAATGTAATCCTCAATTACTTTCTTGGCTGTTACATCGAAATTTCTTCATGTTTAATAGGTATCATTGTAACTTTGCAGTTCTTTACTGAAATGATTATGACCTATATCTTACAGGTCTATCCACATGGCTGTGTCTCGCACCGAAAAGAACACTTTCAACAACATTTCCTTGGCCATTTCTTGTCTTAGTTACGTACTTCATCTTGGAAAAGAAAGACATTGATTCAAACGCGAAAGGACACGGAGGCGGCGGGTACGAAAAACTTCCCTTGAGCGAGAACACTTCTTCGGATGAACAAAATGCTACTCCTGAACACGGCTTGACTTGGGAAGAGAAATTTTCCGTTACCAAGCAGATTTTGCCTTATATCACTTTCTTGTTTCTCACGTATTTTGCAGAGTATCTCTCTAACCATTCCGTTATAACAACCCTAGCTTTTTCAAACTCCTCGTTCAGTCCGCGGGATCATTACCAGTACTACATTGTGTGCTATCAAGTTGGAAAGTTCCTAGGAAGGTCCCATATCTTCCTGCTCTCTTGCACCTGCTCAAAAGTGGTCCCTTATGTGCGAGTTAAGAAAACATGGATTTTCGCTTTGGTAGAGATAGCACATCTCATGTTCTTTACGTTTGCTTCGTGGTTTCGTTTCGTGCCGCATGTTTCTATCGTACTAATTCTCTGTGTAACAGAAGGATTTGTGGCCGGATCAATGTACGTCAATTCGGCCCACACAGTGTCTGAGGTCGTCTCAG